TTTTTTAATTATTAATTTTATTTTTATTTTATCATATTTAAAACATAAAGAATACTGTATATAGCAAGTTTTCAGATAAGAATTTTAATAAGTACATCTACTTTATTACAACACTTTTTTTCAGGATTGGTATTTTTACCTTGCATTTTTTTAATTATTAATTTAATTTTTATTTTTTCATATTTAAAACATAAAGAAGATTGTATACATTTACTCTTCAAATATAAAATTTAACACCTAGTCACATATTACAAATTTAAATGTGACCAAAGTCATCATGAAAGGAGTAGTTTTTGCATTCTTTAAAGAAAGTGTTCAGTTTATTCACCCACATTATGTCAAGTTATGTCATATGGTTCCATTAAACCTTGTTCCACTAATGAAAACAAAAAAAAAATGCTTATCAGAATATGAGGGGAAAAAACAGAAAAAATGGCACAACACCTTTCCTGCCAATCAAGAGAAAAAAAAGATAAACCTCAAAGACTTAAAAAAATCATCAGGACTTGCAGGAGTGCCATGTATCGACCTTTGTGAGTRGAGCCTTTTTCCTTTAAGTGGCTTCATTTAATGATAGGTGGGGGTGGTGCTCATGCTTGGTCGCTCAACTTTTTACACCTCCTCCACATAGCTGGCCTCTGCCCCTGTAGCTCTCTAAGCACTTACTCCTCACTTTATCTGACCTTGGCTGGCACCTGTGACAGTCTTCTCTTCTGCACACTGACTTCACTGTCTTCCTTCAACAACCACCTTCAGCTTTTTTTCCCCCTGTTTCTGTCTTTTTCCCCTTCTTACCTCCAGAATTTAAAAACCATTTATCCACAAAAGCGCTGACAAATAGCAGTGGCTCTGCTGCTTCTTCACTTTGTACTTCAGGTGGTTGAGATGAATGATGTTCGAAATTATTCTGCCCTGTATTGTTTGTTGCATCGCTGCAGAGTTGGGTTGTAGAGCAGCTTGTTGTGCTGTTGTCAGAGCTGAACATAACCGCGGTGCCTCACTGTGACAGACGGTCTCTCACTTTACGTTAACCACGAGTGTTTTCACGGTCATCAACCAATGGTGGCCTGGAGGCTGTCATTTCACTCTGTGGAGCTCGCCCGCAGCTTGGTTCTGCCCCACAAACTCACAGCCGGCCCTGGTGGGGGTATAGAGGCACACACTCACACACCACACACACACACACACACACTCACACACATGCATATGCACACACTTACAGACATGCACGCACATCCACACACATACAAAGTATATGCTCAGCATAAGGCAGGCTGTTGGAGCAATTACAGAAACATGACAGAACACGATGAAGCAGGCCCCACTATCAGAAAGGAAATAGAGTGAGCAGAGGAAAAATGATGACGCCATTAATAACACTGAAGCTCAGAGGCACACAGAGAAGAGGGGGTAGATGACCCTCTCTGTGATTTCCTCGTGACAGCACTTTGAGGAGCAAATGGTTATGTTTCTATTAGATTTTTGAACATTTAAATTGGCGTCTTTCTTATGTCAAAGGTAAAAAAAAAACAACAATAATCACATGTGCCAAACAATGTATAAAGTGAGGTTTTACTGTCATTCACATCTCCATTATTTTGGCAAATGACTGGTCAGGCTTTGTGTTTCTTTGCGCCTCAGGCCTCACATACATCTCCAGCTCGTCCCCCAGCTGCTGTTTTTCTCTTGGAGCTGCAATGCAGATGTGTCTCACACAGTGTCAGGAAACTTCCACTGTAAACGTGTTTGATCAAACATGACAGACAGGATGAAAGCACATGAAAGTGA